TGTGGTTGCTTCTCTGCAACCGGCACCTGATCTTCATGTGATTCAATTGAGAGAAGTCAAATCTGCAACAGTGCTTCTACAACCAGTATCATTAGTTCCTCATCCAAACAAGCCTGTTTCTGGTAAGAAAGATCATTCGTTTGATGCAATTTTAGTTAAATATATTACACATCATCAACTGATTCATTTAAAACTAGTAGTTTTGAAAGAGGGAATTTCTTATTCGATGAACGATACCTTGAACAGAACGAAAAATTTTACGTTGCTGGTCGATTGGACATAGATATGCGCTACTCATTAGATTCTCTTTCATGCTTAAGATCTCTCTATGATTATCGGTTGATAAAAAATAAACGACGGATTAATTCATTATTGCGAGATCTGAGAGTACAGAAGTCGAGAAATTATCAGTGGAGCAAATACTTTCCCTCGAAAGTCGATTGCGATTGCTGCTCAGTGTAATCGCAGTTTCACGGCTCCATAAAAAACAAACTCATGCATTTTCCGTTGCATCGATTTCTAGGAATTAAGAAAGTCTAGACGTATTTAAATAGAAAGTCCTCATTCCATTTTCGAACAGAACTCTCTTCTTCTGAATGAAAAAACAATTAAAATGAAAGAAACAGTTCAGAAAGATGATTTTATGAGAGAGAGAGAGAGGACAGCTATTTAATTTTTGGTCCAAATGAAAAAATTTTACTATTCTCTTTGTTGATATTTTATTTCAGTGGTAACAAAAGGAGACAAAGTTGACAAAGGCACGAATGAAATGAAGATCAAAGCCGAGCAACTGAAGATTACAGTAGAATCCACAATCAAAACAGCAAAGAAAGCAGGTAGGAAATACATGACGCCACAGATTTTAGTAGCCGAAGAAAACAATGCAGTAGGTGCCGCTGCGAAGCGAGCATTAAGTGTGGAAACTGTACTGCTAGTAGTTTGTGTTCAAAAAAACATCATCCTGCGGTATCATCACGTGTCTTTGTGTTTGTCGATTACATGCTAAGATCAGGTACAGGTTTTGATTTGATGCGCGATTCTATGAGTTATTTTGTACTATGGAACCTAGTACAGATCGATCAAGAATATGCAAGCATGCTGGAGTTGAAATCAGTTAAGACGAAGAGCAATGAGGCTTGATCAAAATAACGAAATTCGACCAAGTTTTAGACCAGTTTTCGAATATTCAGACTCTGCGGCTTCAATTAAGGATCAGCCGAGTGTTCATTGACTTTGTTCTTACGCAATCTGATATTTTCATTACTTTTGGATTTCAACCCCAAAACTTTAGTTCTATTTTTGTATTCATAAATTCATTGTACTTTTCTCATTCTATGATTGTAGATATTATAAATGACTTGTTATCTTCTCACTCTAAAAGTCGATCGCTGAGACTCCAAATTGTCAAAAAATAATATACTACTGTAGTTCTTTTTCGTATTGCTATGTACTATTCTCGAATATCATGGGTTTCTCTTTAATTTCAACCATAAATTGACGAGACTCCGTTGAACGTGTGCAGAATGCTGAAGTGTCGTTTAGTCAGAGACTGCACTTATTGAGTTTGTGTTAAATCGATATTGAAATACGTAAGATGTTCAACAAAACTTGATCTATTTAACATCCGAATGAAAAAAAAACGCTGTCATCACAGAAAACGTCTGACAGTCAATTTTGGAAATGAAAAATGGGGAACTAATGAAACACACAAGCCAGCACAAAACAATCGGGATCTAGAGTAAAAAATTAATATGCTTGAGACGTTACCATCGTTCCGCATAAAGAAATTCAAACGAAATCAAAATGACAGTTATTTGTCTGTTCTGATATGCATGATGCAATACTAACATGTAGAGTTTTTTTAAGTGTTGCTGCGTACGTGTTGACGCAATCCTTCAGTAGATTCCTAAGGTTTCTTTTGTTATACGTTAACACACTCATTTGACCGTTACTTGTCAGCCTAGCAAATGGCAGTCCTCTTGATCTATTAGTCACTAGGAAGAGACCATTTTCTGAGGAACATATGTGTCAGAAGACGATATTTGCCAGTCACGCCTACATCGCGCAAATTCTTCTTCACCGAGCGCTCGACTGCACTAGTGATGGGGATTACGAATGATGATATTTTCTCGGAAGTTTCATTTCATCTCTGTCAACGGAAGAGAGTTTCGAGTGAGATCAAACGTGAGGCAAATGCGTATGATATCTCTTCATAGATCATGTTTCGACTTATAGCAGAACCTCGACAGCAGCATAGCCGAACTTGAAGCATGGTATCACTATAATTTTCCAAGTACAGATGATTTTCGGCGATGTGTAGCCTGCCAAAAGTGGTTGCTTCTCTCCGAGATAGTCAGACGACACGATTTTGCTTCATTAGGATGCTGATGACCGACAGTGAGAGGGCGAATTCTCTTTTTAAGATAGAAACATTCATGGCAACGAGATGTTGTGCAGAGTCGATAGAGGCACCAGCCATCTTCTGAAAATGTCCTTGAGGAACGTATTAGGATACCAAGAATAGATGGAACTGCTGATTTTCAAACCTTATTGTAACAATAAATTTGATCGTGAGGTGAAGTTATTTTTGCTTTCTTGTCCCATGTTAGATGAATGAAGGTATAATTACTGAATAAAAGCGATGATTTTCGAATCGTCATGACAAACTCGTTCCGATGACATCAATATTGTTTATTTTCGTTTAGGTACATCAAAGTCATCTCAACCCAAGCTCGTTCCGGTTTTACCAATACATAAACCAGAGTCACCGAAACAAGGTATGTTGCTTTGGATGCTGTAGTATTCCTCGGTAGAAAAACGGCTTCCTCGATTCAGTTGCTCGTGTTCTGCTATATGACGAGTCTTTTCTCTTGACCATGGTTCGAAGGACGCTACAATCAAGGAATTTCATCTTCACCATAGAATATACAGATCCACTTAGGAATGATGATGAAACCAATATGAGTAACGTTTAGTCGAACACTTTTTTTGCGATACTCTCTAGCATCAAATATTTGTCTAGTCCACCATCATCTGAGACTCTTTCTCATAAGTCGCATAGAGAGAATGGTTTCGACGACGATGAGGATTGCCATTAGATATGTCATGAAGCAGTGAGACTCTGGAAGTTCTGCAGATTTTTTATCTAAAATAAACCGTAGAGATTATTTTATACTAACTTATCAAACGTTATTTGACTTTGTATTACGACCGTGAGTAAGTCTTCGTGAACCTAACACAAGCTGGAACAGACTTCGGCTCATGCTTTACTTATGAAAGGGCTATGGACGTTTTAATGAAATCGTCCCTTAGAGCAAGCCATAGACGAACCTTTCCGGAAAAACGCACACGTCTTTATTCAGATATTCAACATCCAAACAAGCAGCAGTTAACAACAGAAGAACACAATACTAGAATCTACTTCGAAATCGAATTTCTCGAGAAAGATATGCTCTTTTTCGATGAAAATCTCCAGATTATCTAATACTGATAACCTACTATTAGACAAAACTTTATATCGAAATTCTTTTCTTTGAACTTTTTCAGCCACGCCTTTTTCTAAGTAAAAATTTCATTTGAACGCTCGTAACTGTTTATAACTAATATATGAGTTCGAATCCTAACAAACTTGACTGAGTCTCATCACGATTTACTGATAGCCATAATTTGAAGTCGCATGGTATCCGATAGTCGGATATCTATCTTAGTTAGTAGACTTATCTACAATGAAAACCAAACTAAGACCCTTTTTTGGATTTAAAAAAAACTTCAAAGAAAACCGTTTTCTTTTCTTGAGAATCTGATGATTCTATTAATTTGCATTTTACATCAAGAAAGAAGATGTGCTGAGTTTTCGCTCGACAAAGAATCCAATTGCAGAGAAGGATGTCATGTTTTTCAGACATGAAATTTCTCATATGTGTAGTCTTGAGAAAAACTCCTTTTTCTCGCAATCTTGCTAGCAAGTGTAGATGAAGATCTATTCTGCACGTTCCATCGAAAGAAATCTCCGGCACACCAAAGCAGTTTCCGCCGAATCCTACATTATTTCAGAAGAAAAGCAATAAAAGTCGTAGAATCCGAGAAAACCCTAGGAAATAACGACATATTACTATCGGATGATGCAAAAGGTCCAATCATTTGGGAGAGACTTTCAAGACTTCAGGAATGCTTTAATCAAAAACAGGAAAGATTCAGAGAACTTCGACAAAATATAAAAGTTTCGGAAGACTTCGATGACGTACTAAAACTTTGAACAATATAGCAAGAGATTTCATCGAAACTCGAAATATTGTTAAAGATTCGAGAAAATTCCCTAAAAATAAAATGGTAACAGAAAAGCTGAGAAAACACAAGAGAACTGAGTAAAAGTTTTGTCGAATTCCACGGAATAAAAAGATTGCAGCAAATCTGAAAAATACTCGAAATTCTTAGAAACACATTCCACGGGAATTTTAAGAATTGGCAAATTTCTAAAAAATTTTGAAGGCTCTGAAAGGTAGACCAAAAATGTATGAAGATTCTGAAAATTCCTTAAAACTCTCACAAATCTTCGAAGACTTCAAGACCTTCCGCGTAATCTTAACGATATTCACCATTATGTCTAAAAATTCTACTAGAACGTACTGGAACTCATCAAGTATTATTTCAGCTAGAATTTCCTCTCTGTCTCTGTTGCAGATGTTATACATAGCATTGCCGCAAGTGACCAATGGGAAGAAAACGGAATTACAATCGCAGGAGGTCATGAAAAAGGCCATACACTTAAGCAACTGAACAAGCCTTGTGGCCTCTACGTCGACGACGGTCAAAGTGTCTTCATTGCTGACACAGAGAATCACCGTATTTTGGAATGGCAGCCTGGTGCAAAGAGTGGTCAAGTGGTAGCCGGTGGTAACGGGCGAGGAAATCGAAATGATCAGTTGAATCAACCAACCAGTGTGGTTCTCGATAAAGAGACAGACAGTCTTATTATCTGCGATTGGGGAAACCGACGAGTGATGCGATGGTTTCATAGAAATCGATCAAGTGGAGAAATTATCATCGAAAATATTCATTGTTGTGGCGCTGCAATTGACAATCAAAGGTTTCTTTATATCTCTGACATCGGGAAAGACGAAGTAAGACGATATGGAGTTGGAGAGACTGATGGAATACTGGTAGCAGGTGGTTTTGGACGAGGCGATCGTCTCAATCAACTTAACTGGCCCACACACATCTTTGTCGATCGAGATCAATCTGTCTACGTTTCTGACACGTGGAATCATCGTGTGATGAAGTGGATGAAAGGCGCCAAAGAAGGAATTGTTGTGGCTGGTGGTCGAGATGAAGGCAATGCTTTCAACCAATTGTCCAGTCCAAAGGGAGTGTTCACTGACCCGATGGGCAGAATCTACGTCGCAGATGGAGGGAATCATCGAGTAATGCGTTGGTACAATGGAGCAACACAGGGAACTATGATTATTGGTGGGAAGCGTCGGGGACAACAAGAAGACCGACTAGCTGATCCTGAAGGTTTGTCATTCGATCGATACGGCAATATGTATGTGGTCGACTGGGGAAATCATCGAGTTCAACGATATTCAATTGAAAAATAACATAGACTATTTACTTTCTCGAGCTTAACAAAAAAGAGAATGTTGTTTTCGATATCTCTCACGTACTCTAAGATAATAAATAGATTTTTTTTTTCGGGAAAATATTTTAGTTTTTGAAAAAATATTCTTTCCAAGTATGTTTGTGTGTCGAATATGTATTCGTGAATGGTCGAATAACTCTAGACAGTTGTGAGTGAGGATGTGGATCTTCTTCTACAGCTTGCCTTAATGCCCACACATCCACATTTCATTCAAATTCAACTCTGCAGTCTCGATTCACGACACTTTTTTATGCTCCACGAAATCACATGCTGAATTGTTTTTGTTTAAATGTAGCAATATAATATTCGGACTGGAATTATATTATAGATAATTTTTGAAATTTTTATTAAAGTATTCGAAGTATTGATGATTTGTACCATAATGTGACTCGGAAACTGTTCCAAAATATTTTTGTGCTCAAAATAAACAATGGGATAAGATTTATTGAAACATTTTATTTATGAATAAAAAAAATATTAATCAATAATAGCCAATACCTGCTTCGATTTTTCTTTATCTTTTATGTGATATCAAAAGTTACTTATTCCTGATTTATATCCTTTTGAATGGCCACTCTTGAGACAGAAAGTCATTGACGTAATGTTTTTATAGTAAGCAGCTTGCGTAATCATATTGCTTAGTTAAGACGTGTATTTTGATATTGGAAAGAACCGGCTATTCCAAAGTGGAAAAATCCAAAACAATGGCTGCCTTTTCAATCTTTTTTTCGTTCTTTAGTCTCCTACTTGTGTCGAAATGAAACGATTATTTGTTCCGTTCTTCCGTTGTGGACTCGCTATAGAATGACGTCATTCTCAGAACGAATGAGAGTGATATGAATTGCGCATAAAACGTACCGTTTCACTGAAAACGAAACACTTTTATCAACAAAAAATTGTCGATTACGTTTCCTAAATTCGGACAATACATCTGTTCTGAATTCACACAATGACGGCATGAGGAAGTCATCCTAGTATATAAAGCTGTTTATTGAGCGACAAATGTATCTTCATTTTTTATTCGTATGCAATCAATTCATCTCCACGCATTAGATCAAATACAATGCAAACAGCTACTGTTTTCTTTTTTCTCAGTCTTAGTGTTTTTGTGTGTAATTGGAATGCTTTGATCAAGTCATTCTCGCAGACAAATAGTACCGTCAATGGTCTCCACGATCAAATAAAAATTGAGGGTGTGAGTGTGAGTTTTCACTTTACTCACACCCACCTGCATCCGCACCCAAACCATTTCTTTGTCAGTCACTATAATTGTCTGCATCTTAGATGCACCGTCTCATTACAATTAGTTTTTTTTTCTAATGCAATAACAGATAGGTAATTTTTTTTTGGTTGTTTGAGCATTTATTTCATAATTAGAAAACAACTACTTTGATCTCTGTTCAGACATGCTCGTGACATGGTCATGCAGTATCAATAATAGACAGTAGGGTTCAAAATTATTCATTCTCTCGAAGAAAATAATGCAACTGTTATATATCCGCTAGGATTCAACGATTTTAGTTACGGTTGTCTCCAAACTTTATAACAGTAAGTATAGTCTACTTCTATAAAGTTTGATCTTGATCCATAGTTAAACATTTGTCATAGGTAAAAACTAAGAAATACCATGCGCTTCTGTTGGGGTTAAAACCATTCGTACAGTCATCAGAAAATAACTAAAAATAATCTTTTTCTGTCATTGTGCATTTCGCAAAATATTCTGTGTTTTTCGTTACAACAGTTTTGGCGTTGAATTTAGTTATATTCATAGAAAATAAAGTCGAAAACATCGAAAAATATACATTCAAAATCATAAGAACAGTGTAAATTATTCCGATACCAACAGAAGCACATAATATTTCTTCCCTTTTACTCATCTTCATGTTATATATTTCGGAGGAAACCACAGCATAAATCGTCAAATCCCAGCAGAGATCTAACAATGGAATGATTTTCTTCGAACTTGTGAATAATATTTAAATGCTACAGTGTCTCAGAACATAGTTGATTTGTCTAATAACTATCTAAATGAATAACGAGTTTCCTATTGGTAATAAAGAGTAGACGTAGCCTCCTTTGGAACAAATGATGTCATTCTCAGTTAACAGAACAAACAGGATTCATGAAGTGACAAAGTTTTTCGCAAGAAATTCTAATCCACATACACATCCTTGATATATCGTTTATATCAATCTTGGTTTTGCCGAATATTGAACAAGCAAGTTTACTCAACTTTCTCAGCAGAATGAAAAGCTTTGATAGTTACACGATTGGAAGAAATATATTATACTAGAATTATTCTTCTATAATAACTTAATCTGAATAAGTTAATACGGAAAAAACACATGCATGATATGGTACAATTATAGATGACCTAATATGAATAAATCAGTTATACAAATCGTGAAAGTGAATGGTATTTTTGGGCTACTACGGATTTTGCGTTTGATTGAAATCACACAAAAATTTTTTTTTTCTAGAACACTTAAGTTCAGATCGATATTTCTAACATCCTAAACCCCTCCCCATAATAGAAGCCCCTCCCATATTGGAAGCCCCCCCTTATTAGAAGCCCCCTCTGAGATGAACAACGTGTTTGACGTATTAGAAGCCCCCCTAATTTTTCGAAAAAATTTTAAAATTTTCAAGATTTTTTTTTCACATTTTCATGCTAAAACTGCTAAAATTTTTCGTTTTTCAGGTAAAAAGTTGGCTGACTCTTATCAAGCTTAGCTAAAATCTGAAAATAATGTAAAAAATCTTCTGGAAAACTCATAAAAACCTTGAAAGTCGCTAAAAACCCTTGCGAACCCTTTTTCCTGGCAGTTTACGAAATTTTTTTGAGACTTAATAGAAGCCCCCTCCAGAAGCTTCATATGATAGACATATTAGAAGCCCCCCGGGGGCTTCTAATATGGGGAGGGGTTTAAACATAATTTACTTACTTGACTTCAAGCTATAAATTCATCGGTTTCAAAGCAAACAAGGATTCCATAGTGATCCGCTATATCCTAATGTCTGAGCATGATATCTCTAGAAACATCGAAATAAACAATCTATTATCTAATTAAGTCTTTAGAAATAATTATTCATTCTGATAATTATTTTAGGTGGCTTAGACGTTTTTGTTCTGTGTGTTGATTTATCAAATAGATAAAAATTTTTTTGGTAAATTTATTGGTGAGAGAAAAGACTCATGTGAATAATGAAGAGTGGAGATTAATCTGAGGGTGAAAGTGACGACAAGGTCTAAGGCTAATACGAACACTTTTCTAATTAGTTTTCGATTGCTAGTAGTTCTAATTGAGCGTTATAGGAGAGAAAATGTCGCGAGAACATGTGTTTGAAAAACAACAGTCAAAGATTATTCCAACTAAAAATGTTTCTCTCTATATATTTATATGAGATTTATTTAAATATTTGAGACAGCATGAATTAGTAGCTCTTAACAACAATATCAATAATTTATACAATTTATTTGAAAAAAAATGGAAAAAGATTATAATGTTTTCATCAAACAAATCCACATATCAAATGTAAGTAATCTGAAAGCACTACTCTCTTGAATCAATAAAGAAAAAATGTATAGGTAAATGCATCGTTATCATTTTAAAATATGAGTACAAAATAAGTCTTATCAAAAAGTAAATATTTATTCCTCTAATATTTATATCTAGTTGTAGACAATTGAAAATCGAACCTCTTGTTAATTGATTCAATGGGACATTTGGAATTAGTTTCAAATCATAGTTTAAATCGAGAATATAAACTATGTATTCTTGGTGAAGGTGCTGTTGGAAAAACTTCTCTTGTACGTTAAAATAATTATTAAATATGAAATTAAATTCCGTCATTTAAGGCAACACAATTTGTACAAGGTATTTTTATTTGTAAATATGATCCAACTATTGAAGATGTTTTTAAAAAAGTATTTTGATTGAAAAGTAAATGAAAAGAATATTGATGAGTTTATTTAGACTATTGAAATCGATGGTAAACAATCTATTATCGAAATTCTTGATACAGCTGGAACGGTTTGTTATTGAACAAAATGTCATTTAAAAAAAAAAGAGTTTTTTTTATAGGAAAAATTTACAGCAATGCGTAATTTATATATAGAAAATAGTGATGGTTTTGTTATTGTTTATTCAATAATATCTCAAGTAACATTTGATCAACTTCATTTAGTTTATAATCAAATTATGAATATTAAAGTAACGATTTTTATTAAATAAATAGAAAAAGTATTCAATCTTTTCTATGTATAGAAAGAACAACCGGCAATCGTACTTGTTGGAAATAAAGTCGATTTATCTGATACGAAAAGAATTGTTCATAGACATAAAGGTCAAACATTAGCTGATGAATGGATGTGTCCTTTTTATGAAACATCAGCGAAAGATTCTATCAATGTTCATGAAGTTATTATTTAGATAAAAAAAGTCTCTAAAATAAGATTTTTTTAAAATTTAGGTATTTATTGATTTAATAAGACAAATTGATCGTCGATCACCATGCATAAGAAAAGCGTCAGTACTAGAAAATATACATATACCAATTATTTCATCAATTCGAAACATTTTTCGTTGTTTAATTTTTCCTCGCAAAAAAAACAAAAAGAAACCATGAGATAATAAATTCCTATTTCTATGAAAATGGCTTTTAATTCAGTTTAACGCTTTCAGAATCAAGTACAGAAAGTTGACTTGATATAAACAAAGGATAGCAATGAAATGAATACATTTTTACGAGCTAAGGTTGGATTGAATCCACAAAATTTATTATATTATTGTTAATTGTTCAAAAACACTTCATCTAGTAACTTGAATATTGACATTGATGACTAGCATTATAAGGTAATTCTTTGATGTTGAGTACAATGATTATACAGAAATGCATGGCAATTGGTTATTTACGTATCTCTGTACAAAAACATTTTTTTTTCGAAAAAATGAGTGC